GTATTTCAGCATGGTCTATGAAATATAATATTAATACCTGGCTACCTTGTTTTGTCTCACGTTAGTGGGTATTCTACAAGTACGCAGGATACGTGATTAGCTCCCACGTCTGTCAATTTCCGCTGCAGACAACTCCTAAACAACCAAAAGACTGATTTATTTCCGTTGCCTGAAATCACGATGAAACAGTTACTTCTCCTCTGCAGAAGAAATGTCTAGATCCAATGCAGTGACCAGCTTTATCTACATATTGATGAAGTGATCATAGGTTAACTTCTAGGATCTGTCCTAGAAGTTATCTTCATGAGTTATCTCCAAAAGACGCACCTGAGCTGGCTCATCAGAGGAACAACTTGCTAACATGGGGATGTTGATGACACGCTTGTTGTCTGCAATGATATGAAACATGCTGAGCTAGGTTCATCCCAACATAGAAATTTAAAATGAGTATGCGCAAGATAATGACTTCAAGTTTTTGACCCACATTGTGACATGAGGAAATATTGGCATGATCGAAAAGACCATCCATGGAAATGATCCAAGCACAACACGGTACCTAAACTGCAACAGTTTTTATCTCGGCTGCTATAATTCCATATTGGGTTTTTGATTTATAACACACAGTGATACAAAATTATTTACTTGATGACGTTTTGAGCATAAATTATTGCTCATTATCATATCAATGTAATCGTACTATTTTCAAGGAATGATTTTTGTAGTCATACCACCTCGTATCATTTGATATTATTGGTAGTAAAGTTTCCCATATCTCTGCTATAGGTGTTGCATCATTTCCATTATATGTGTTGTGTGTGTTGATTCGATGAATAAAGATTTAATAATCAACCTCTCTCTCATTTAATTATATTGGGCTTGAGTGCAGTAGGTTTTCCCCACCCTATTTAATACTTGCGTGTTATTGCACGCATTGCAATTATTATTATTATTATTAATATTATTATTATTATTATTTCCCTTGGGTTCTTAATGCAACATAAGGCTTCAGTAGCATGTCGACATTACATTCCTTCTGTACAGTCTTTAGAATCTCGCCCCACAACTGCCCACAAGGTTTCATTTCTTCCTCACATCATCTCCTCCATGTCATCCTCACCTCGGACGCCGAACTCAACTAGTCGTTTCCCCTTTGGGTTCCACTTGAGGGCCTTAGCTGACACGTGATGTCCTCAAATGGTCTTCTCAGTATGTTTAGTCCAATCCATCTCCACTTTCTTCTGCACATTAGTTGGGCGATGGGTTTTTGTTGGTTCGTTGTTAGGCCAGCCAGAGTTCCTTGTTGCTTATTGCTTCTAGTCATCTATCTGATCTTCAGTATCGAGCCAGCATAGGCAGCTGGTGATGAACGTCTGTAGTTTGTTGGAAGTGCTTTCCATGACGCGCCAAGTCTCTCAACCATCACATAGAACCACTGACTTGACTGAATTAGTGTTGAAAATCCGGATCTTGTTCACACTTTATGCTGAGTGCAGTGCAGTGCAGCAGATCTCCACACTGGTTCCAGATTGATGAAGACTTGTCTTGCTGTTTTTCCGATCCTGTCTTTGACATCCTCATCTGTGCCTGTGCCGCCTTTAGTTGAAACGATGCTTTTCAGGTGGCCATGAGAAACAGACAACTTCCTTTACGTTTCTCCCGTTGATGGTGATTGGTTCTCGTTGTTGTTGTCAATCGGGTATCTTCACCACCTCTGTCTTCTCTACGTTCACCTGAAGAAAGTCCGTCTTTGCTGCCCTACCCCGTCTGCAACCTCCTTGAAATTGAAACGAAGTCGATCTGATTTGAAGTGTGTCCTGGTGTCTGGTGAAATCCATATCGCTCGCTTTGTGAATATCTTTGTGTGTGTCTACAGGGCCTCCAATCATCAAATCGTTGAGTGTGCAGAAGTCTGCAAACAGTTCTCCATTTTCATTCATTTCACCGAGGACTCCTCGACCCATGATGAGTTCTCTTCTTGTGTTGTCCACTCTCAGTTTGGCAGTCATGTCAACCATTAGAATTTTGATTTCACTGTCAACATGTGGGGTCTTGTCCATCATTGATCGCAGTTGACTGTAGAATTCCTCCTCCGTCTCTTGATCTGCATTATTTGTAGGTGCCTAGCGTAGCATTGAATCATTGTGAATTTCCTTCCCTGTGAGTTGAATCTTGCTGTCATGATCCTGATCCTGCAGGAGGAGATTGGTTCACACTGCATGAGAGCCTTCGATGCTGTTGGGGATATGATGGTAGCCACTCAAAAACTCGGCGTGGTGTGCTCGTTTTTGTCGTCTGGGTGACAATATCGGAGTAGATTATTGACTCCTCTCCAGATGACAGTTGTGAGAGTTCACTTCCATTCCATCTGCTTTCGCAGATTCCAGCCTTGAACTTCTATGCTATATCTTCTCATCTCTTTTGCAATCTGGGCAGCCTTGGCAGCCAGTTTCAAACATTGTGAGGACATACCATGTTTACTTTCGCTTTCATAGAGAGAAGACAAATTGGCCAACCGGCATCATTTCATCTCTTCGATTCCAGTGAGGAATAAGTTTGTTTTTATGTTTACTTTGTGCTTTGAAGTTTTTGTAGCTGTTGGATTGGTTTTGCGGGGTAGGGTTTCTAGCCCTATGCGCAAACTTCCTTCTTTACTCGGGCCTAGAACCGGCTAGTAACTAGTGAACTGGTTAACCAAGCGAGGTTAATTTACCATCTGGAGTACACTTTTCTGGTTTACTGTTCTTGTTTGTATCTGTCAGAATATTGTGTTACTCTAACTGACCCCAACCGGCTAGTTTGACCTATGTACTTGACCTAGCAGACATTACATGGAATTTGATAGATTAGAATCTTTTACTTAACTGGTTCTATCAGATCCTTAAGCCAGCCGGCCAAGCTTGTTGCTATGTGAGTTTGTAGGTTTTAATGCCAACCTAATTCTATTTTTTAGGATATTTCTTCCTTATAGAGTAACACCATGGAGGTTGTGAACTCCTTTCTGCTCATGTTGTCAATTTTATACGTACTCGTGTTATTGTTATTATGTGGTTTCTTCTGCGTTCATGCGAAATCCTTAATAAACTGTAGAGGATAATTATTAAATATTAGTGTTTTTTTATGTGATTCAGTTCCCTGTTCAGGTCTTTGCACTGACTAGTGTGTTTTTTAGCTCTATCATTTAGACACGACTAAACCCGTCTTAACTGACATTGGATGAAATGACTTGAAGTCTAGATACCTGTTAGACCTGTTCGATTTCCTGTAGACTTTAGTATCAAAACCACCTTCTGCCCTTCGTTTTATCCTGAAATCCAACATACCTAATTCTCCTTGTTCATTTTTTACGTCGTGAGTTGGATTGCTCCTACTACTAAGTTTGTGTGTGAGGAAATCATCGACATGTTCCGATTTCAACACAGTATTGTCTCATCCATGTATCCCACCATATCTTAGGTGCAGGATTACACGTTTGTATGGCCAAATTTTCCCAACTATCCGTAAATGTATCTGCTGCGACTGGGGATATTGGTGATCCTATTGCTTCTCCTTCTGTTTGTCTGTTTATTTTGTCCTGAAACTTGAAGACTGTGGAGGTCAGCGCAACTGTACACCTAGTATGATCTTATCAAGCGATATCTTAGTTCCCTAAGTTGAGTCACTGTTTAGTTTACCTCTGATCGCCTCCAGTCCCATACTGATTGGTATTTAAGTATAAAGACTTGTTACATCGAAACCGATCAGCTATAAGCCTACGCTAGTCAAATACCTTATGGTGGAGCTGGAAGACTGTTTTACGGACTGGTAAAAAAAACAATTTAGCATTAGGGGAAAGTTTCTGAGAGGAAATGGAAATCCGAAGTGTTTGATTATGAAGTACAAGAAATAACATGTTGAAAGGACCAAGCATCCGACTGTTGAAAAGGAGATGGTTTTGATTCTAATTGCATTCAGTGAAGACGCAGTATCTGAGAGAATCGACATTAGAATAGAAGGAGCACCAAAACGAAGCTTTCCTGAAATCAACCCTGCAGCTTCATTGAAGCAATCCGGACAAATATGTAATTCATGTCACCTCCAAGTGCATTCGTGGATTTAAATGTACTTGCTGTAGCAAGTATTTTCAAAGGACTGAGAAGAGGGCGACCAGTGTGTTTGCTGAGCGTATTAGGAAGAATTTATTTCTGAAAGGAAGCCAGAATCTAACTGGTTCGACTAAAAGACACCCCACAGACACAGGACACCATTTTGTTGCTTCTTATACTTTTCCCCCAGTCAGTTAAACAACGAGCATTTACAAATCTTATTCGTGTTGTTTTTATGCAAAGCACTTTGAGATCGTGATAAGTAAGATCACCTAATGATGAAAGCGGTTCAAAAACTTAACATTACGCGTACAGTTCATATTTATCAATTTTCTCTCGAGATGCTATATTTATACTTCGGAAATAAAAGAAATAATTTCTTTTATTTATACATCCTTTCAGAACTACTTATTTTGTTGATAAAGTAGTATCAAAATAAAACTTTTTTCTTTATAACATGAAAGTGCAGAAACTGAAGGTCAAAAAAGAAAACAAAACAAATGGCGCAAACTGGTAGATGCATTAAAAGCAAACGATGCACAGGTATAAACATCTATATATGTTTTTGTATCTTTTCATTATTACTGGGAGCTATGTTCTTGTGGACGGGCGATCTATGCACCTCTTTTCAGTTATGTCATGAACTCATGTAGCAAGAAAGAATCATTGATACAAAGACAAATAACAGAAGTAACATTTGAATAAAATGGGAAGTAATTAGAATCGAATGTACATAGGAAAATCTTTCTTCTTTCAACAAAGACCGAAATAAACGTTTTTGATAAATGCACATCCACGGATTTCATTGAATAATGAATATCTTAAAAATACGCTGACAGTCATATCAATAATAACCATAATGATGATTACAGGTACTGTGTCAAACTTACAGGGAAGAAATCAGTAGTAACGAGATACTTATTCATTTGACTGTAAGGAACTAGTTCGTCTGCGTGACAGTTGTCTTTGAAAAACGCATAAATCCGAAAAATTTGAGTCTGTAACGTGATGTGGTATTTCTGTCGGTTTCCGTTGTCGAAGACAGAAGGCTTCTGTAGATTTCAGTTTGAAAAATATTCAGTAAATTTTATTGTTAGTGTGGTATGATGTGTAATTTCTGTCATTAGTTCAAGGCAAGTAAAAAGATATACTTAGGTCAACTCTTATGAGATTAAAATACTCACTTTTCGTCCAAGACAAGGGTCAGATAGTCTGTATCTAACTTTTCCACGTTGGTATCCACATAGGAAATGAATAAATCTATTGATAACAGGAAAAACCAGACTTTTCTCTTTCACCGTTATAAAATTCTTTGGGTATTCCGTTTCGTTGATCTCTGAAGCTCGTCACTTGCCAATTCAAAAGTGACACGTATGAAAAAGCGTAGCAGGATGTAGGTAGGCAGCCGATTTGAGGACAAACTAACTAGTTTACACAGTACTTGTACATGTCTGTCAATGAATGAGGCGAAACTAGGACTTTGCAGGCAGCTAGATGGTCAGAGTTCTGTGTTAGTACTTCGGTCGGTGGTTAGCATTTCATCACCACTCTGGCTTAGGTTTAAACGCACTCGTTATCTCTAAACATTGAGGTCAGACCCTCTACTGAACCGACCTTAGGTGGCTGATGTAAGAATATTATCTTCACTTCTACTAGTGAATAGAGAACTGACCAGTTCATTGTTCCACTAACCATATAAACAACGTTGAAGCAAGCTAGCAGAGGCCATTAAAGTGCTAAGATCAGCATTACTGCCCAACTAAAGCATGTACACTTTTTATTAGCCTTATTCTGACTCTCCGAATATATTTAAAGTTGGATTGTCCCACTTTTCCCAAGTTTGGTTAAGGTTAAAAAACTATGCAAATTGCACGATCTAGGTTGACATTTTTGACAACTAAGTAGTTTTTCAGTGGCTCACATATGACATCAGCAGGTTTGCTAAATAACATCACTCAGTTAAGAACACTATTTGTAATATTTAGTGCAAAATACTGTGAACTGGCGCGGTATACTACTAAAAGCTTGGATAGTTAGAAATCACTCACGATAATACGATCTGGGAGATGAATCTGTCTAGGTATTTTGCTACTAAGGTCAATCCCATACAAGTGAAACAACCACCCAGTACTAAGATCAACCTGATTTAGCCAGTAAAATTTGCAGGTTAGCGCCAGTATTTTACTACTGTTTTTATCGTTTAGTAGTAGATCACTGAATTTGTGTTGTTTTGTCTATTATGTGACAAAACACTTCCTTCTGACTGGTTAGATAAGTCATTTAAGCAGAATTATTTAGTTTATACCTTTTATTTCAATGAAAACACTTATGCACTAAAATGGTATATTCAACACTAAAAATCACACCATGTTTCCTGTTACAACTTATTTTTTGTCCATTCGTTATCTTTGCAACAAGCAACTTCATTAATGTATTCATTACTGCAAGCTTAAAAGCAGGAACTCACGTGTGGATCAAGCAATGACAAGAAGTTTTCCTATATTTTCTCAAGTACCCTCTATTCACTACCGTAGATAATGACCTTACACAATTGATTCATGCGCGTAAACATTTCTTTCAACTATTTTGTGTTGTATGCAGCCACAGGGAAGTAATACTACTGAACAAAGGAAGTCAGTAAATCAGTAAATACTTTACAAAACAAAGTTTACTTTCAGATTAACATAATATTAATATTAACTAACCTGTTGTTTCCTTAATAAAATCATTTGAATCAAGCCAATTGTGTTCTATTTCCTCTTCGTCTGCAGCTTTTTGTACATAAAAACAACTGATCAATGTTACCAAAATATTAATAAATATTAGAAGACAGAAACAACCAATCACTATTGGTAAGAACACATTCTGTAAACGATTTACACAGCCTTCTTTATAGGCCAATTCATTTGGAATAACATAAATAAGTTTATTCGTTTCAAGTGATTGGCTAGAAGCAACTTTACTTTTTGGTAGCTTTGACGCATTATTACAATGTTCACTTGTATAGGTTTGTAAATCACAACAGGAATATGGGACATAGTGTTTAGGTATAGCTTCATTAGCAACTCCATAATCGCCGTAAGCTGTAAGTAATATAGGAAAGATAAGAAAAAAAGAAACATTAATTGTAATTTTTGCTGTGAAAGAAACTGGTAAACTATGCTTCACAACTACTCATATTTAGTTATTTTGGATAGCTAGGAGGTCATACATGTAGGCTGAGTTGTTGCCGATCTTTGTCATTGAGATATCCCCTGAATCTTCGAGAAAATTAGGCCTTCTCTCGCTGTTTGGAAACTCATTATCATTTTACCTCATTGTCAGACTCAAACACTGTAGGCAACAATAAGCGAGGGGTAGTAAACAGCATTGACCCTTTTGTTCCTTAATTTCTTCTGATCCGATAGCACTAATGAAGCCAGGTATTAGCTCTAGACATTATGAATTCATTTGTTGCTAATGACAAGGTATATGGGTTAAGTATCAGATACTGATGTTTTTCTCTTTTCATCTCTTATTATGAGTCATAATGTGACAAAACAGAATTGCATTCAACAGTGAGTTAGAGTGAAAACGAGAGACGTCATCTTGCTGAGGTTCTAGTTCAGAATGATGATCTGAATTAGTGGAATATACATCTTAATTTATCATTGAAAAGACAACCTGTGTTGTACTGCAGGCGTAAGTCGATTTGAGAAGTCTGAAAAAGAAGCTAATAAAGGCAATGGCACAATTCGAAATAGTTGACTCTAGGAGTTTGAAACAGAATAACAACTTTACTGGCAGTCAAAGCATAATGCTGTTCCTTATAGTGGCTGATATATATAATAACGTGTTCATAAAATATTCAGTACATGGTGAGGAATTTTACCACAGTTTCCTATGGTAACATATTATATGATTTGAAAATTTTTGATTTCAAAGCAAACTGTGATGATATTTATCACCATGGACTGCGTTTTTTTGCAAACACCTAAGATAATTCTAGACATGACTAATTTGCTCAAGTAAGTAGCCGGAACTCTGGTGGCTTGAACAGTTTGGCTGTTTGAGCTGAATAAACCTGGGAACACCACTGATGAGCTCGGATCCAGATGAGCGAAATGGAAGTCCGGTGTTCAGATCACCTGGGTCTGGCTACAGAATACCGCTGATCTGTGTAAGTGGCCTATGTCAGTCAGTAGTATATATCCAGTGCATATGTATAAGAATTCACTGCATTCAATACCCTATTTCATCTAGTATAGGAGAACTATATACTTAATTCTACGCCTAAGTTATAAGGATTTTTAAAGAACTCAGGTGCATAAAGTTTTATTTGTCTTCATGTTACTGATTATTCTGCTATATTGACTTTAAAGAACACCCTAGCAACTTCTGAAACAATCAGTTAAATTTCTTTATTTTTGCCGAGAAGGTGGTCTTTCGTGAGAAAGGATTCCAGTTGATTATTTCACTAGTTCTCAACGTACATCTTAAGTCACTCTTCTATCGGAAAACAAAGAAGTGCAACTAATTAACCTTGGTATTCTAGTTTCATCTTTTGAGGAACTTCAACCAGTTTACTAGTATACTAGTCACTAGCCAGTCATAAGCCCGGGTAAAGAAGGAAGTTTGCGCATAGGGCTAGAAACCCTACCCCGCAAAACCAATCCAACAGCTACAAAAACTTCAAAGCACAAAGTAAACATAAAAACAAACTATTCCTCACTGGAATCGAAGAGACGAAATGATGCCGGTTGGCCGATTTGTCTTCTCTCTATGAAAGCGAAAGTAAACATGGTATGTCCTCACTATGTTTGAAACTGGCTGCCAAGGCTGCCCAGATTGCAAAAGAGATGAGAAGATATAGCATAGAAGTTCAAGGCTGGGAATCTGCGAAAGCAGATGGAATGGAAGTGAACTCTCACAACTGTCATCTGGAGAGGAGTCAATAATCTACTCCGATATTGTCACCCAGACGACAAAAACGAACACAGCACGCCGAGTTTTTGAGTGGCTATCATCATATCCCCAACAGCATCGAAGGCTCTCATGCAGTGTGAACCAATCTCCTCCTGCAGGATCAGGATCATGACAGCAAGATTCAACTCACAGGGAAGGAAATTCACAATGATTCAGTGCTACGCTAGGCACCTACAAATAATGCAGATCAAGAGACGGAGGAGGAATTCTACAGTCAACTGCGATCAATGATGGACAAGACCCCACATGTTGACAGTGAAATCAAAATTCTAATGGTTGACATGACTGCCAAACTGGAGTGGACAACACAAGAAGAGAACTCATCATGGGTCGAGGAGTCCTCGGTGAAATGAATGAAAATGGAGAACTGTTTGCAGACTTCTGCACACTCAACGATTTGATGATTGGAGGCCCTGTAGACACACACAAAGATATTCACAAGCGAGCGATATGGATTTCACCAGACACCAGGACACACTTCAAATCAGATCGACTTCGTTTCAATTTCAAGGAGGTTGCAGAGGGGGTAGGGCAGCAAAGACGGGACTTTCTTCAGGTGAACGTAGAGAAGACAGAGGTGGTGAAGATACCCGATTGACAACAACAACGAGAACCAATCACCATCAACGGGAGAAACCTAAAGGAAGTTGTCTGTTTCTCATGGCCACCTGAAAAGCATCGTTTCAACTAAAGGCGGCACAGGCACAGATGAGGATGTCAAAGACAGGATCGGAAAAACAGCAAGACAAGTATTCATCAATCTGGAACCAGTGTGGAGATCTGCTGCACTGCACTGCACTCAGCATAAAGTGTGAACAAGATCCGGATTTTCAACACTAATTCAGTCAAGTCAGTGGTTCTATGTGATGGTTGAGAGACTTGGCGCGTCATGGAAAGCACTTCCAACAAACTACAGACGTTCATCACCAGCTGCCTATGCTGGCTCGATACTGAAGATCAGATAGATGACTAGAAGCAATAAGCAACAAGGAACTCTGGCTGGCCTAACAACGAACCAACAAAAAACCCATCGCCCAACTAATGTGCAGAAGAAAGTGGAGATGGATTGGACTAAACATACTGAGAAGACCATTTGAGGACATCACGTGTCAGCTAAGGCCCTCAAGTGGAACCCAAAGGGGAAACGACTAGTTGAGTTCGGCGTCCGAGGTGAGGATGACATGGAAGAGATGATGTGAGGAAGAAATGAAACTTGTGGGCAGTCGTGGGGCGAAATTCAAAGGACTGCAGTGAAGAGGGTGCTATGGGGCTTGCTACTAAAGCTTATATTCCACTAAGAACTCATTGACAAATATAACTGGAAATAATCTTTTGGAGGGACAAATTTTTGAAGACCGTTTTCATCACTCTTATCTGAAGGGTTTAGTACTGAAGGGATTAAACTGGTTACTTATATTTTAATAAACCCCATTAGATCTTTTCTGAATTGTTATTTTGAGTCACTGAAACTAGTTTATTCAAAGCGTTATAGCTGTATTTCTTAAATGCAGGTTCGATGCATAGGTACCATTTTGTTTTAAAAAAATATGTAGGATAAATATCTTTACCTCGTGAAAGAAGTTTCAGCAATAATGTAGTAACCAATAGGAAAAAAGATACCATTAAATGTAGCTTTTCAAGCAGTGATTATTGAATAAGGCATATTATTATTGTCTTTTCCTTCTAGTATTGGGACTTTGTTTCGTTGCAGATATACCGAGTATCTTCAGTGGGCTTAAGAATTTGGAAACTCCTGCCATGAATTTTTATACGCTTTGCTTACTGCAATACGAAGTGAATCTTTTAGTGCATAGTTGTACATGTCGCCAGTTCACTAAGTTGTCTCATGCAATTCATGGCAGTTTGAACATTTCTGGGAACAATATCGATACTACATAAATCTCTTCGGTTACTAATACTAAATGGCATCAGCGGTCAACAAAGTCTCATTTCAGCTATCAGTATATATGTTGTAGCTTTTATACCTTCATATTTGATATGATTGATGTCATGCAGATAACAGTATGATTTGGATGTGCTTGCTTTGATAATGAACCACTATGGGTGTCATCAGTTTTATTATCAATTCACATTATTCTCTTCTTGAATTGTTTACTTTACAAACATGTTGTATTAGTGGACAGATGGACTTTAGATAGAAGGAAGCCCTTAAATGACCTAGATTCCTTTTTCATGGTGTAGTTTTATTTGCATACTACAACACCATACGGCGAATAGACTTATATGTTTGTGTTTGATTTTAATATGCACCTTTATGGATTGACTATTTCTTTCCGAAACAGAAGACGTCAACTAATTTATATTCACTTGAGCATGTAGTTCCACCTTTAGTCTGGTTCCAGTACAAGTGGATTCAGAAAAGTCTGTCAATCTTCTCTTATTGATGGAATGCAGAAATCACTTTAGTCACTGTTTAACTGAAATACTCCTCACAGTTATTTCCCTTAGGTGGATTAATAACAGGTCAGTACACATCATAGTTCATATCTGTGGGTTGATGTTTAATTTTATACTGGTCTGTATAAGTTATTCATATTCTGTATTAGAGTATGTCAACTACAGCTGCTTAAGACAATTGAACAATTGAAAAAGAAAATCATTAAATACATTACAGGCACTGAAACTAAATGCTTTACAACTTAAGTGTTCAAAGTTGCTTCACAAGTCTGTAGGCTCAATAGATGGTAGTCATACTGTCAGTCAAAAACTTGTAATTTCATGAAAATCATTAAGTGAGACAGATAAAAAGAAATAAAGGGGTTGAAAATCATATTTAGTGTGGTTCATTTGAAAAATTTCAAACCAAACACAAGTGAGAATAAAGTTCTGATGACTGTGTACCTTGGTCTATGTAGTAGGGAACTAGTTGTCAGACGATAAGCATACTGAGTCTTTACCACCTGTTTTTTACATTGTCCGGTTTTATAAGCTTTCTTCAACTAAGAGTTTACAAATTGAGGTGAAGAATGATATGCGATAATTTTGACACAAATTGTGAAATATGGGTGAATCATCATGGGTTCTAATAACCATAAACTACTGCAGGACCTGAAAACTGGTTTCCTGGGCAAAATCACTGGAATAGTATTTCAGGTATCAGTCAGTTTCTCGACGGTTAAACGTTTGTAGTAGTGAGACATATTTTTAATTACTGTTATCCTTAAAATTAGTCAAACATTCAATGGTAATGCTTTTAAAAAAGAAGAGGTAGCGCCACTTACATCCTCTGCCACAGCAATGAAGAGCTTCTTGTATGTTAGCCATGACTGTTTCAGTTTCCGATCCGGGTTGAAACATTTGCACTGCAAATGTTATACCAACCTCCAAATGCCTCAACCACTGAGCTAGTATAGTGTATAGAATACCGCTTTCCAATACTGCTAAGAATACTAGGGCGAATATCTGTATAAAATATGTTAACAGTACAGACAGAACTAGTAAATTTGATGTAATAAAGATAATTTATAAACAGTTATGAAGAAGCAGTGTTAATTCTAAAAATGAATTACATGGTCATATATATATATATATATATATATATATATATATAATGTCCAGTTAACTGATTTTAATAGAATGCACAATTCCAGAAACAAACCTTCCTAAGGAACGGTGGATCCTTGTAATGGTTAGTGTTCCTAGATAAACTTCTGAACAATTCGCTCACTCAGGCTACAGCTGTCTTGAGACTTGCACTGTCGTTACAGCCAAAGGGTTAAGGGATACTTTCAAAATAAGTGAATTTCATGATGTAGTAATATAGTCGTTTCATGAGTGTGGATACTAGCTATCCACGTTTCAGACACGATAAGTGTCGAATTTCGGGATACACACGGAAAAGTAAGAATGTTATAGTTGTGAATGAAGAAAAGTGTTGACAATGAAACACTTCAACCTTCATCTTATTCAATGGGACAAAATATAGAATCCAAGATTCACACTAATAATAATTCTGTTAGTTGATAATAAAAACGTCTTTTGAGCCTGAAAAATATGTATTTAAGAAGTCCCCAAAGTGTCAGCCTATGATGCCTTAAAACGATGATTGATTACAACAACTGAAAACATTCAATGTGACTAAGACTTAAATACAACCCAGTACTAACACATTCAAGTTATATTTGGACAAATCTCAGCTTATTTGAAGTAAGAAATTCCAACGTTTCGTATGGAAGTCTGGTCAGAGCTTCTTCGGGGAAATAATCATAATCTACATTATCATAGATATGTAAAACAGGTCATAAATCGTATAGTTCATCTTTTTGTCCAATAGTGACTGAATATGATTGTTTTTCAATAGGTTTATTAATCATGAAATCAATGATTTTTAACCTGTTATATATATCTATGATAATACAGATTATGATTATTTCCCTGAAGAAGCTGGGACCAGACTTCTTTGCGGAACGTTGGGATTTCTTATCTCAAACACGCTGAGATTCGTCCAAATATAGTTCACATCTAATGCCAACTTTCTACTTGGCGCTTGATATCTGTGAAAGTATCCGATCAAATCTCAAGCAGCATTCATGTAAAACATTACTAACACAGCTAGTTATGAATAAGTTATCTACGATCTACTTATCAGCTTTAGTCCTCAACTGAAAAGCGCAGCAGATATAGGCTCATACTTTTAGTAGCTTTTCATCAGGCCTTACAATCACATATATAAGTCAGGCCAAATCAAAATCAGGCTAGAAAATTTGAAGATTGAGCGTTAAATTAGTTGTTAAATGTATCTTTTTTGATGTATAATTATCAATTAAACTTCAACAAAGTCACTTATCTGAATCACTTTCTAAGAACCTGTTCTCAATGCATAAAAAAACATCTGATATACCAAACAAAATAAAAAGGTAACGCCTGCTATTCAGTCTCACTCTAACAGACAGTGCCTGCTTAATTATTTGTTTAAAAATGTATCACATGACTATGTTTGCGGTAGCCTTTGCTAAACTGATCACTGTTTTATCTTCAAAATCTGCATAGTATAAATTCCGTTTGCTTTACATAGATTGTCTAAAAATTAGAACATTCCCTGTATCCTGCCATACACTGCCTTTTATATATTCATAGATATCTAGTTATAGAGACTGAAGAGGAAGATCTTAGAAGCAACTGCTTATTCGTTTACTCCTTGTCTTGAATATTTACTAGAGTTCCGTACAATTGAGCTCATTTTATTCAATGTTGATAGGTCGGAATTCTCTTGATACATAACTTACTTTGAAGAGAACTCAAAAGGAAACATTTTCCTGAGGCAATCTTTTTGTAGTCCTTAGATTATTTCTTAAAGATGAAACGCTTACAGGCAAATACAAAAATAATGTTTGAAAATCATATATTAGCCTTCTCCATTTTATGTAATAATGCCTAATTTTACTTGGGAAATTCTCATTAACACTTTTTTTAATATACCGAAGTAAGAAAAATATTCGAAATTAACAGGGAGTTCTGATTACTAAACAACAGTTGAATAAAGTTTTTAACCTATTCGATTATGCATGCTATATTCGAGTTTTCCGAAAATGATAAGAGTTAACAGATTACAGTATGTGTTTTAATGGATAACATTATAGGCGCAAATTATAATTGTTCTTGATGATATGGAACTATATACAAGGACATCAGCCTAATTTCTACAATTAGAATAATAATAAACTTCCTTTGACTGTAACTAATGGGAATTTACCAAATAAATAACATTAACTAATAAAATTTACTATTGAACATTTCCTCTCTTTTTATTTACTTACCTAATCACAGTATGAAATAAGAAATGCATATGAACATTTATGTTGAAAAGGGAAGCTATGGGAAAAAACGAGGACATCAAAACATGTGACATGTAAATCTAATGATGCTATCAACGGCGAATGATATTTTTGACAAATGTGTGAATGAAAATGGAGCAAAGCTTTGTTATTTGTTCGAGAATGACAGGAACTGGAATCTAGCCTACTTCAGCTGAATGTACTGAATCTTAGTGAGCAGTGGTGCTAGAGATAGGAGTTAAATACAGCATTTATTGCTATGCTATTATCTGGGTTACTGCGCAATATTTGCTTTCTTTCGTGAAACAGGTATTAATTTTTATTTGCATGTTGGATTGAGCTATTTTTCGCTAATGACATTTTCACTATCACTTTATGGCAGTGGATTACCACAAAGTATCAACAGTCACAGTAAAATTGTAGTTACTTATTGAAAAAATAATCTAGGTCTAGTGGAATTACATTGATAAAATTTTAATGCGAACTGACCATTTAGTGGGTGCTGAACTAGAAACTAGAAAACTGAAGCAACTAAAACTTTTGGCTTTTAGTTAGTATTCATCATGAATGGATAACTGTTTCATACTGTCATAAAACTTCTCAGTAGTGTGCATACGCGATTCTGTAGAGAAATGAGCCGAGAACTAACAGCTCGCGCAGTTGCCAAGTTAGCATCCAGCCACTGGTATCAAATTCACTGGGTTGCACTTTCCTACTTCTGTTAATAGGTGAAATAACAAAAACCATCCAGTGATACTGACAAGTTTTTTCTCTTACACCTGAATAAATTGACCCAACGGGTTTAAGCTCCTCATTACAACTTCGGGGAATCCTTCTCAAAGGAAGTCACTAATGAATACTAGGTACTGAGACAATAAATAACTAAATTGTAAGGGGATATCGTTAATAAGAGCAGAACGTTTTTCTTCGAAAAGAAATTTCTGGAAGCTTTTTTAAAAAACTATCATTTAAGTTATACGTTTGGGCATCCAGTTCTTCTAAACATGATTTTTCTGCACGAGGACAGCATTGCGTTTACCTTTTTTTCTCAAGATGACTAACTCAATGGTAATCCACTTCTCACGGCTTTTTGAAGTTTCTATTTCTCAGTATGGAACTTAGCTATACATTTTGGTCATGATACCTACTATGTCTACAATTCACTGTTGTTTAGTCTATGTGAAATCTGAACCATTATAAACTGTTAGTGAACTTATCGTTTGTTACTACGTAGAAGAATACTGAAACATGGAGCTTACAGGATTCCGAATTAGGTAAGAATAAGATTTTTCAACTCCAATATCAACTACTTTTAATCTTAAACAATGGTAGCATGAAAATCGCTAATGAAGATTGTTTTAGCCCTTCTAATATATCAGTATTATAGTTGGCTTGAAGGTGAAAGAGTGCGACTATTTAGTAGTTAAATCAGTGAGAACGAATGATAGTTTTATATTCCAAGCAACTTATTGAGATAATCGAAGTGAAGTGTATTTCTGTTGCAGTTATTATCCACCTTTTAGCTGAATATATCAAGGAAAGTAACCTTGAGGAATAAGTTTGTTGTACTTCTGTAACCAAATTGTTTCAGTGTTCTGTTCAAATTAAAATGAAGCAAACAGTAAATATTGTTTTATGGTTTAGTTCAATCGCCTAAATGAAAAATATATTTGAAGAAGAACTAGAAAAACGCGAAGTTTATTTGTTAAAACAGGTGAATATCATTAATTAATTGATAAACATTTCCAAGAAACAGATCAACTCTGATTTTTCAGAAAAGCTGTTAAGTTTGAACTGAAAAATGAAAAGTTTGAAACCTTTTTTGCATGATTTATGCATACTTTGGCCTAAATAATAGAACGTTGAATATCGACCAATGCTTCTGATAATTTTGTTGAACGACTTAACTAACTTGTATGTTCATTTCTTTTGTGTGATAAGTTTGACTGGGATGAAAGGTCATTTCAACTACAGGTGAAACACCGATCACCTTTTGGTTTATTCATACAAACTGATGTATATGTCATCTGCGTAATCCAAAATAAAGCTAAACTTCAAGAAAAATAAGTCATTTTGAATGGAAAACCTTTTTTTTCATTTAGTAGGTTAGTCTTTTAAAACAGTGATCGCTTCAGTGTAACGAAGGGATAGTTGTCCAAGTCCTGACCAACTATTCATTTAAATAACCCTTGGCATAATATTCATCAAGCCAAACCCTTACACCATTTGCGTCATACACAGATTCTGTACAAGATTATTCACGATAATTAGTGTAAGATATTCACTTTCGCATCATCTGACAGCTACTTTTTGTTTCTGACAATCAGAAGTATGAAATAGTTATAAAAATGTAGGAAACCACCTCGATTGCGAAGAAAGCGTTTATTGTTTTGGTTTCATTTTTATACTCTTTCACTTTTTGTTTTAGGTTGGCACAACAGTATGAGTTAATAATCATTTACAATGAATCACGGTAACAGCTGGTTACTGAAGATTTCTGTGGAGATTCAGACCATTTATGTTTGTTCAGTACACAAAAAGTAAAGCTTAACTGTTGAACAAGGAAATACTTTCTTTATTGCCTTTTTTTCTGGTCGTATACATCTGTGTTTTGACTTTTTATCAATA